GCTTTTGCTAGTGGTGGTCACTTTAGTGAAGGACTCAGCAGTACCTTATGCTAAAGCTCCCTTTCCTAGAGGGTAGGATGGTATATTCATCCACACATTACATTTAGATGCACCTCCTCAACTAAGGAGGACCAGCAGCCAGTGATTGGAGGTTTGTAAAAAGAAAAACGTTAGGCTGATGTTGCACACATGCGCAGAAGGGATGATTTTACTCCAAAGATTTGCATGGGTATGTACATGGACACCAATCGGCATGGCGAGGGGAAAACAACCACCTCTCTCAACCGGAATGAAATTTCTTTCCGATCAGACGGAACCGGATACGAATGTTCAGTCTGACATGTTTATATGACACTTTTTTGATCTGATCAGTCCTTCCATCCGACTAAACATAGCTACTGATGTTATTTGGCCTTGGCGTTCAGCTTTTACTGGTTTGAAGGTTGTTCTAAGTACCATTCATATAATCATTCTGATCAATTTCCTTGTACTGTGACTTCTAGTGAGGACTCTGCACAATCTCTCTCATTCTGTTCATTTTGTATGTTTTTTTTTCTGCTATTAACCACAACAGCAGGGTAGAAAGGGTTTTTCTTACTTTGCCCCGCTCTATAACCTTTATATTTTTCAGCAACATTAGCTTAAAAAAACTTTACACATAAACAGAGGGGTGCAGGAGGGTGCACTGTTTTTTTTTTTTTCTTACTTCACATGTTTGCAGACTTTAAAACTCCAAGCAATATGGCCGGGTGAACCTAAATGCAGATTATTATTATTATTATTATTATTATTATTATTATCCTACTGTACCACAATTAAAGCCATGCCTTTTAAATTCCCTTTTCATTCATTTATTTTCGGTACATTTGATGTAATATTACTCTTTTAAGTTTAAAGCACCTTAATGGCTGTTGAGGGTTTTTCTTTCATTAATAATTTTGTCCGTTTATTGATGGATTTCTACTACTATTTCAGATGAATGCATTGATTTGTCTGCATGCCACCAGTTGTCACAGAAGCCCTTTAATCATAACATCAGTTTGGCACCTCAACGTGTGGGACAGTGGGCCTTGAGGACCAGAACCATATAAGAGTCCCTTTTTTGGCAAGTGAACATTAAATGATACAGTTGTCTTCCTGTTTAGTTTTTTGCAAAGCCTCCTTTTAAATGTGCCATCTTCAATTTATTCTAAAGACTTTACACAGAGACTGAACAATTGAAAAAACAGAAACTACCTCAAGTTGAGAGCAGAACAACCCTTTTCATGTCCCTGTCATATTATGTCTTCATGCTTGGTTGCTCTGTTGTCTTACTATGTGAAGAGTGCAATAAAGCTGTAAGTGAGCTCAAATTATTAACAGTATAAAAAAGTCTCCTGTCTATGCTTATTCCTTTAGAGAAAAGAAAATATCCAATAAAGTAAAGCAATTTAAGCAGTGCCTTGTTTTTTTTTTTATATGAATACAAATATATGATAAAAACAATGCAGAAACAAACATCTAATCACGTCACCTTAGAAGGAAATAGCTGATTGATGTATTTTGTGCAGCGTACAGAAGAAAAAAAGAGCTCAGCATTGAGTTTCATTAAGCAAGAATAATTTGCCACAAAATGATTCAGTTTGTTTTATGAGCCCATATTTCATATTCCAACTTCACCCTCTGTTCAAGGAAAACAATATTCATTATTTTAACAGGCAGTCATGTTAAATGACAACTTTTACTTTTGCCTTAAGTAAAGGTGATCAGAGGAAATATGATTTTTTCATTTTTTTCTCAATTTAGCAATGAACCCTCAACTGTTAATTTCAGTCATATGAACTCAGAACTTATGGAAGCCGAGAGCGGTCATACGCTATTTCTTTTTTGCCTTCTCAAGATAATGACATAACTATCTAATTATCACGGTTAAACCATTGATTGTTTTCTCGAGATAACAACATAATTATCTCGTCATCACAGGCAAACAGTTATTGATTTCTTGAGATAACAAGATGATTAATCTGTATGAGTAATGAATGAGGCTGGCCAACAGCCCTGGATTCCCAGTCTATCCGTACCCGTATTTGTGTGCAAATAATCAGTTTTTAGTTTCCTTTTTCTTTTCACTCATTGTCAAGTCGTGCTGCATAATTGGATTGCATGGAATACAGTAGAAACAAATCTGACTGTTTTTTTTTTTTTTATAAAAAACTTTAAACTTGACTAATTTTTTTAGTTAATGCATCTTATACCTGTTACAGGCGTTATACTGGGGCTGTTCAGAAAACACCCAGCGCCAAGGCGCCGGAGGTATAGGTCTAATTGTTTGAGAAACAGAAGTGTAGGCAAATCATCAAACCAACAATGTTGTCTTGTTACCTTAAAGTTAAACACAGGATTATTTACAGATTTGCACATGGGCCATGATTTATCCTTATAAATCCATACGGCCGTTGTGGTATTGAAGGATGTAATAGCTTTTAACACACTCCAATCATCTCATTGTCACGAGAAAACGGCTTCATTATCTTTAGATAATGAGAAAATTAACTTATTTTCTTGAGCAAACCGCAGTGAAAAAGTATCGGAAGTACTAGACCGCTCTCGGCATCTGTAAGAACTAATACTTCAGGAATAGTAAAAAGTTAAATAGAGAAAAAAAAACATTCTTAAGTCCACATACTATCATGGTCTTGGTTCTGTTGTGCTTTACTTTGCTCCTTGTTTTCTAGTTTTATTGGTTTAATTCCTATTTTGTTGTAGTTTCTAGATGTTTGTTCTCAGGTTTTTCTGTTGTTTTCCTCTGTTGCCCTCTTGTGTGTGTTCCTTTCCCCTTGGCTCCCTGATTTTCTCCTTTCACACCTGCTCCTTGTCAGCTCGTTAGCCCTGCCTTTGTCTCAGTCAGCTACATATATTCTCCCTCTGCTGTCACTCTTTGTTGCAATGGAAAAAAGATCTAGAAATAAGTAAAAATGTCTTAAATTAAGTGTATTTACCCTTAATTTGAGTGGGTTAATGAGATGATTTGCCAATGGACTGAGTATGTTTACTCTTAAAATAAGATATTTAGACAAAATGCACTTAAAATAAGACAATGCAATTGTGTTTTCTTACTTAAAATGTAAATTGTCTTGTTCCATTGACAAAATGTCTCTTTTACCTACTTAGTCCAAGAACAAATGCACTTATTTTGAGAAAAAAATACTTATCTAGATTTTGATTTTTTCCAGTGTGGTTCCTTGTCTTTGCTGTCTTCCCATGCTGTTGTCTACCTACCTCGTCTCTCCCTGGCTCCTCGTCTTTGGTTTTCCCAGATGTCTCCATAGTTCTGGTTTGCCTTTCATTATTAGTTGGATTTTTGGATTCCTGCCTTTGTTTACTGTTTTTGCCCCATTAAACTCCAAGAAATCTCCTCAGCCTCTCTGCCTCTACATTTGGGTCCTCAAAACCACAACCAAACCTTGACACATACGATCTGCAGTGGGAAAACAAAGCAGCCCCAAACCATTACTGCTCTAGAGGAGATTTGCTTGGAGGAATGGGTCAAAACACCACCTAGGGTTTTCAACCTGGTAAATGCATACAGAAATCATTTGATAGGTAGCATAACCTCTTGCAGTTGTGCTACCAAGTATTGAGTTCAAGTTGACAAAATATTTTCGTTTATAACTTATGAATAAATTCTTCATGATAAATTCTCTGTTCTCTATACGACCTCTGTCATATTTCTACCTAGGAAAACTTTCACAACCATTGACTGACTAAATACATTTTTGTCCCACTGCACTTATTAACTTGCTTAGAATTAACTTCAGGGGAACTGGAACTCATATCATTTTCTACAGACACTTTCTAGGGGCACATATATCTTAATAAATTCCTCTTTGGGAATTATGCACATATTCTCCTTTGATGGTTGAAAAATCCATGGTTTACTTTAATTACCTTCTGCTTGAGTCTGATTCCATTCTTTCCTCAGCTATGTTTGAAAGAGCTGTGAACCATATATGTTTTAATAAGAATTTTATTTTAAAGTAATACTTACTATAAACAACACAAAGAGCAGTAAAATCCTGATCCTTATAATACAAAAGTGAGAGGAAAGAGTACAAGAGTATAGAACTGCAATGCCTAAGTCCTGGGGATAATTTCACATTGTCAAAATATCAGTATCTAATATTGTTGTGTCAGCGACTTCCAACTTTTATGTAAAATAACGATGACAGTGGGAAATAGCAGAAGAGTAGCAATTGGATTATTGGATGTATTTCAAGTTCAACCACAGCACATATTGAGAAGAAATTGCTGAATCTAAATTGAACAAGATAGGTTAAGACTGTACAGGTATGTTCTCATCTTTCATTTACAGCAAGCAAACTGTTACAGCCAGTGATGTGCAACGAGGTTGATGATTAGTGAGGCACTAAATTCTTTGGAGCTTGAAAGGAAGCCTATATTTGACCTTTACCTTAATTGAAACATTTAGTAGTCTACAACAGCTTTTTATTAAGCTTTAATCTCTTCCAGGGTCAAGGTAGCAAGAAAAACAACATAATTTACAAAGTACAGAGTGGACTTTAATTATTTTAATTTTTTTATAGTTTATGTAAGCCAGTGCTAAGCTTTCTCAATAATCTTCAAAGTACTATTTTTAAAGTACTAATTTTTGCTTTTTCAAACATTTTGGACTACTTGCTAAAGGGTTTGAAGTTATAAACTATCTGGTGCATTAAAGTACATGTACACAGAAGAGGCCTGATTTCCAGTGTTTAGTGGACACTTGAACCATCCATTTACTCATATGGGGGCAGTAAAAGCCTTCAGAGGGAACATGCTTGACTTGGCTGTAAAGTAAGCAACAGACAGATTATCTATCATACAGAGAGCTAGAGAGACTCTACAAAGCTCTTCTAGGAGATGCACCAGTGCAGAACTGTATTCATACACACTTTTGGTCTCTGTGCTGGAAAGAAATAAATGTGCTATTAGGACAGGTGGGAGTTGTCACAGGTACTTACTGCACAGATTTGGAGGACTGGGACCTGAACTTGGTGAACTCGCCTGGAGCAGTCCACTCTGTACCCAGCTGCAACAAACAATAGAAGAATCACAGGTCAGAATGCGATGGGTAAAGAAGGGAGGAAGGACCAAGCTTGGTTTCAAAATCTCATAAAAAAAATGTTAGAGTAGGCTGCAGTTTACAGTTTTAAAGAACCATTTAAGAATATAGTGAGGAAAAAAAAATCTCTTTTGAAGAGATATTTTTATCTTTTAAGCTAGCAACTCTTTGACTTTAAAAAGTGCACAACTGAGACATTTTCCTTGGAACCTTAAAGATGAATATCATATCATACAGTAATTAATTCTTATTTGCAACTGAGCGATAAGTCCGAGACCAAACTAGAGGTTTTTCACTTGTTATTTCAAGCTGAAGTGAACTTGAACTGCTTCACTCGCTCTATTCACAAAGGAAGAATTTTAAAATATCCCTTTTTTTCTTGAGCAATTTCTCAACAGCTGCATACTCTAAAACATGATGAATTTATACCTTCAGCATTGCAAAATACAGAGTTTTTTCTTATTTAAAATCGATTTCCACTTCCATTGAATTCAAACAGACTGTTGACCCGATCACAAAAAATGTAGGTATTGAGAGGAAAAGTAACTCTTTATGGGTAAATGTTAATCTCAGCGTTTAAAAACAGAGAGGTGCAAATACACAGCTAGTTAGATGGACCAAAGTTTTGGCTGATTTTAGTAAATAATAATAATAAAAAAATTAAATATTGATGTTTAAAAGTTTCACGACTTTAATTAATTGTATTTGCAGGTAATTAATGCGGATAAAAAGACCTTATTAACACAGTTCTGGTTTTCTCAACCTTACAACATTAGTGTTGATGTACATAATTATTTGGGGGCAGCTAATGAATTAGGGACTTCTTTAACAGCTGTGACTTGTCAACCAATCCAGAGGAGTTTAGGTTTGTGTGCAGTAATACCGATGTTGTTCACCTGAGAATACTGCAATAAATGTAACTGTCTGGTACAAGCATATAATTCAGTTATTTGTAGAAGTTTAATAAATCATATAAAATCCAAATTTTGATTAAAAAATTAAAAATGCAGGCTTTTAGTTACAATAATTAAAAGTTCTTCTTAAAATGAGGTAAGAGGTTTTTCCCTAATGAGAAAATCTGTATCAGCTCCCTTGCTGGTCTGGAGGAGGACTAATCCTACTGCCCACGGGTTCCAGCATGGGATTTTCCGTTTTGTTATGTGCCAGTAGGAGCTGTCAGATTAGGTGCTACATGTCAGCTTACGTGGTAAAAACCACATTTCAAGGAGAATGAATGGAATTTGTGTCTAAAACTGTCATGGCGCAGGAGCTGGAAACTAAAGAACAGATCACACACTTTCTGCAAAGATGAGAAAGTGACTCACTCCAACCCCTTAAACTCACCATCCAAAACCAATTTGTGGTTCAAATTGTTGCGGTTTTACCTTATCTTTGAAAAGGCATGTCGCTATGTTCTTCAAAAGCTCGTATCCGCCTTTTGAAAAATGCCATAGCATAGCACCAATTTCAAAATGCTATTATAAAACAGCATAGCTGCAATATCAATGTTGGAGCCGCTTTGAATTAACATCTGAGAACTTAGAGCAGCATTGTGAGACTCTGATTGCTCCTTCACTTTTGATAGCAATGCAAAACTTTCAAATGTCTGGGAAAACACAATATGACCCAAATTGTCAAGGAGAGTTAATTAGCAGAAAACCTCTGAAGTGAGCATGCATATAAAAACTAATGGCTATAAAGAGTGAGAAAATGAGGAAGCGGGATTCCCTGCCAATACTGACTCTAAGAAGCGTGCTCATCAGAGCAGCTGGGACTCCCTTTATTGCCCTGGAGTCAAATCAGTGCCCATTCGTTTCCTCAACAAGCCAACACAACTAATTAGGGCCCCTGCTGCTGCTGATCCATAATGGAAGAATACAGCTAGATCACAGTGGGCATGCTTTCAATTGTTTGTGCTGGACACACTCCTAGGTCTGAATCTGGTCAGAAGACAGTGTGGTGGGCAGTGGGGACAGACCACTGCAGTCTTTCAGACTGCAAATAGCTGCTTATCCTCAAGCTGAGCCCTACTGAGAATTAACACAGAAAAAAAAAAAACAGAGTGACTCACACCTACAACTTGCTGGCAGTCATATAATGGCACGTTTCAGGGAGTTTTGCTGGCATGAGAATAGAGTTACCGTGGAAAAAAACAGGCATCAATGCCTGTCCAAACCTAACTGGGCCCCTAGCGGCTCTTAAAGCCTCAGAGACTCAGACACAGCTGGTTGGAGAGAAGAAGGCAGATAAAATATGTTAGTGTGATTTTGTTCTAAAGCCTGCAGCATGTTGCTGCTTTGGTAAATTCTAACACCATCAGCAATCATAAATATTTCTTCCTTAACACAAACAACAGGATGTCTAAAATATTGTAAGAGAATTACACAACTGGACGGAAAAAAAAGGATGTAAGTGATGTTTTTGATTTATTCATTAATAAATCAAATAATAATAATTAATTAAAAGGGCTACAATTATAGAAAAAATACAGTCAAAACACTATTGCAATATTTTTATATGGATTTGATGTATTAAACCATATCATCATAAATGATTTTGTTTTTTATAATCATTGCTTTAACTAAGCATTTTTTATTTATGTCAAAAATCTATTTAATTACATTTATGCCACTGCAATGTACTTTTCACTGTTTTTTTCCCATTCACACTATGTTTTATTGTTTTTTTCCATGTACAGCAATTTGAATTGTCTTTAAACAGAAATGGGCTATAAATATAAACAAGCATTGCCACGTGTGTTAAATTTTACCTACTTTACATTTCAGACAGAATAATAAATCAGTTTTATTGACCTAATAATAGATTAGCTAATTCTTGTAAAGATAAGATAGACCCACCCAACACTTTATAAAACTCACTTATGCCATTTGGACAACACTTTGTATTCTCATATTTATTTCAAAAAGTAAAAGGGATATTTTAGAACCCTCATTTGACAACCTGTCCATATTTTGACAATCTGTCTATTAATGTTAGTACTGTATCATTTCTTTCCTGTTGTATCCTGTTGTATCCTGTTCTTTCCTGAGGATTTAGGTCTATGGACTGACAGAGCCATTGAAGAAAGCCGATTTCATCTCTGGTTAACCGTGCCTTTGCTGATTTGATGGTCTGTTTATCCTTCTTAAGGACCCAGTAACGTATTTTACAAGATATTCTATCAAAATGCTGATAAAAACATTAGAGTTTAAAGTGTTCAAACTACTAGTAACAACCCTTTAAGGTGTTGTTTTGAAGAGAAACAGGCCTACAGCATTACATATCCCTTTCAATACATATTAGATCAGATGCTTTTAGGAATTATTCCTCCTTTGTCTTACTATAGCCACATCTGGGGTATTTCTAATAAAAGCGATTTAGAGATTTCTGTTACAGTATGTGACGTTCAAC